GCATGCATGCATGTATGTACGTATGTTTGTAGGTTTGTATGCTTGTATGTATGTATGTGTGTATGTATGTATGCAAGTATGCATGCATGCATGCATGTATGCATGTATGTATGTATGTATGTATGCATGTCTGTTGTATGTATGTATGTTGTATGTATGTATGTATGTATGTAAGTCGGTCAGTAGGTATGTATATAGGTATGTACCAAAGTATATGTGTTTGTATGCATGCATGTATGACTGTTGTATATGTTTGGCTCGAGCGCCCGCGCACAGGGCGCATTCCGGCTCCTCCCATCCATCCCTCTGCTGCGCCTTTTTCTGCTTGCGATGGCTTGCGCACATGCAGCGCGCCCGCTCTTCGGAGCGCTCCCGGCCGTGGCAGACGAGCTGGGCTGGTGCAGGCGTTGCGGCCAGGCGCTGCCCGGCGCCTTGGCTGCCGCCGCCGTGGCGGCCGGGCCGCCGCTGCCGCCAGGACTCCCCGCCCCGCCAGAGAGCATGGACGTCGAGGCCGGCGGCGCTGGCATCGCGCAGGGCGTGGAGACCTTGCAGGTTGGCACGGGCCCAGCCGCCGAACTGGACCCGCTGCCTGACATCGACATCGACGAGGCCGGAGCAGCCTTGACAGCGGGACCACCATCACAGGCCACAGCACCACCTCCAGTACCCCCCACTTCCAGTTCGACTACGCCTGCCCCCCTGCCCTTGAGCATGTTCAGAACGTTCGTCGACCGGGAGGTTCTCCAGTACTTCGAGCTGATCGAGGCTGCCCACCCGCGGGGCAGTACTGGGGCGCAGGTGGCTGCGGAGTTCCCCACTGGCTGGCCGGGCTTGCATAAGCTCGCCTACAAAACTGTCTCCTCGGACCCTTGGCGAATGCTCGGGATGTCGATGATGTCAGGCGCTGCGCCCACCTGTCTCTCCATTGCCTCCCGGGAGCGCGCAGCCCGTCTTCTGTGCGACCTGGCTGACCAAGCGTCATGGTCAGCGAGCGACCTCGCGGAGGCAGCGAAGTTCCAGGTTCTGCTCACGAGTGCTGCCCGGCACTGCGAGGAGGGGATCCCCGACGCTTTGAAGGAGAGGAAGAAGTTGAAGAGCCCCGAGGTCCCGCTGTTCAAGGAGCTAGGAGAGGCCGCTTTGAGGCTGGTGGACGTGCCTGTCTCTGGCGGCCTGGCCCCCCTCATCCTCGCGCCGTGGTCCAATCTCCTCCGCCAGGGCAGGTTCACGAATGAGATCGTCGCAGACTCGCGAGGGCTGGCGGCTCTGGCCGAGAAGGGCGATCCCGCGCTGTGGGATTGGTGTGAGGGTAAACGCGTGGTCCTCTGGGCTCCGGAAGAAATCAAAGCCCTCGCCCGATGCCTGGCCGCCCTGTTGCGCCGGGCTCCGGACCGTTGGCCTCTCTCATGCCGCGTGGTGGCCGCGGTGGGCCTCCTGCCAGACATGCGCGATTTTGTCATGTTCGCCGAGTTATGGTGGCGCCCCTTCCTTGCTGCGAAGTGGGCCCCGCTGCTCAGGCAGTGCTGGGCCACGCCGCTTCCTATGGAGTGGACCTCCACTGGCCCAGCAGGTCCTCGCTTAGGCCACGCAGGCCTTGCCATTTTCCACCATGGACGTGAAGGCCCTCGCGCCGCTCCCCAAATTCACTTCCCTCGCGCCCCTCTGGCGCAGCTGCCGGCGCGGACCGCGGTGACGATGGACATGATGGCTGAGGACCTGCATGTGGCTTTCGCCCTCCTGCGGGCGAGCGGGGAGGAGAGCGCAGCGATCAGGCAGCGCCGGCGTGGCCCGCTGAGCGCCCAGGAGAGCCCGCGGATCTGCTTGGGCGTCATCTTCCCCTCGGAGTGCACCGACCTCCACATCGGGGTTTTCTTTCAACATGTTCGTGGGGCGGGGCTGCCGGCGAGCGCGTCCTGGGCGCGCCTGGCCATTTGCGGCTCGGCGAGCTCGTGCATCCTTGAAGTCTCCTTCCCCGGCAGCTTGGACCGCCTGTGGCACTTTTGCTCGCGGCTCCTGGCCCTGTCCCGCACGATGATGTTGGTGGTCACGTACGTGGCGGCCATGGTGTGGACTGCAGCCATGGGCGACATTCTCAATGAGGTTAGTTCCGAGACGATCTTCCGTCTGAAATGGAAGGCGTCTCGTAGCGGTGGGCGCGCCATTGCTGCCCCCGCCGCGACGCCGGAGGCGATGGCGGCCAGCCGCCGCCGCGGCGCCGGGACAAGTTGGCACGCGGACTATATATGGCGGACGTGATCGTGATGTGGGAGTTGGGCAAGGAGGGCGGGGAGGTGCTCAAGCTCATTATGCAACGCTCAGCGAGACCGACTACGCCAAGACCCCGCAGACAGGCGAGCACATCCACCTTGCAAGGGTGGACGCACGGGCACCTCCGAGGCGCCTTCGCCTCCTCCTTCCTGGCCTGGAGGCGGCGCGCAGGATGCGCGCGGCGCTGCGGGGCCAGTCTGTGCGAGTGGGGTCCGACTTCGTCGGCTGTCGCATCACCAGCGACTTGCTGGACGCGGAGGGCATCCTTGGGGGGGGCACCCGCCACCAGCTGTGACTTGGTGGTGGAGATGGTCGGGGCATGCATGCGGGAATTTGCAACTGCCGCCACTTTCGGTGGCTCCTGGGAGGCACGGCGGAGTCTGGGAGTAAACGGATTCAGTCCAGACCTCGCAGCTCTCTGGGGGGCTGCGAATTGCGCAATTGTCGCCATTTCCGTGGGCTCCTGGGAGGCAGGGCGGAGTCGTGGAGTGCACGGGCCCAGCCGAGACCTCGCGGCTTCTTGGGGGGCTGCGAATTGCGCAATTGTCGCCATTGTCGAGGGTTCTTGGGAGGCGCCGCGGAGTCGGGGAGTAAACTGGCCCAGTCCAGACGTCGCAGCTCCCTGGCGAACTGCGCAATTCTAATCATTTTTGCGGGCTCCTGGGAGGCACGGCGCAGTAGGGGAGTACGCAGACCTAGCGGGGACTTCGCATCTCCTTGGGGATTGCGAACTGCGCAACTGCCGCCACTTTCATGGGCTCCTGGGAGGCACGGCGAAAGACGGGAGCACGCGGACCCAACCGAGACGTCGTGGTTCTTTGGTAGGTTGCGAACTTTTTGCAATGTTCGCCTTTTCTCCGTGGGCTCCTTGGAGGCACTGCTGAGTAGTAGGGGAATACTCGGACCCAGCCGAGACGTCGCGGCTCCCTGGGTGGCTGCGAAATGCGACGTTGTCGCATCATTCGCAGGCTTTGAAAGGTCCAACAGAATCGGGGGCCATGCGGGCCCATTTGGGACCTCGATGCCCCTTGGGAGGCTGCGAACTTCGCAAATGTCACCCAGCCGAGACCTTACGGTTCCCTGCGGGTCTGCGGCCTGCGCAAATGTCGCCACTTTCACTTGCCTTTGGGAGACGGGGCGGTCCAGCGGAGTTGGGGGCCATTCGCGCCCAGCCGAGACCTCGCCGTTCCCTGGGTGGCTACGAACTGCAGAATTGTCGCCACTTTCGTGAGCTCCTGGAAGGCACGGCGGAGATGAGGGCAGCGCCGATCGTGCATATCTGGCCATGTGTCATAGAGATGTGATGTGTATGTATGTAATGGTAATACACATACGGATATTGCGTGAAGATGAAGATTGGTACGTCCCAGGTGTTTTTTTGTGTGTGTGTGATCGGTGAACATTTGTTTGGGAAACAGCGAGTCACGTTCACGTGTTTTGTTGTTTTGGGGGCCGCGGTGAGCACTGGAGTCTCCCCACAAATAACAAGCATAATCAAAACAAGCACACACAGCATTTCGCCGCCTTCCAGGAGGCAGCAAAAACAACAAAGCAACCGTATACAGCATTTCGTGGCTCTGAGGGTCTGTTCCTTGAGTAAGAAAGCCTTAGTCGTGCCTTCTCTTCATCGACGTCAGGACTCCTTGGATGCTTTTAGTAAGGGTTCCTGAGTAAGGATTGTGAAGGCCTTGCGGGGCTGGTGCCGCCGACCCTGAAGGCGGATCTCCCCTGGGACCATGGGGTCCCCTCCGAGGACCACGGGGCTCGGGCCACGGGGCTGGCCGGGGCCGGGGCCAGGGTCGGGACCAGGGCCGGCCCCCCACACAGGGGGAACCCGTCCCAGTCTCCCCGCGTTCAAGGGTGGGGCCACCCCCTTGGACCCGCCGGGACCTACCAGGGGGCTGTGATCTGACCCGGGACACCCCCTCCCACCCCCCCCCCTCTATACTCCTCCTCTTACTCCCTCCCCTACCCTCCTACCCCCTGGATGGGAGTCGGCTTGACTACGACGTTTCTTTGTTCGCTTCGCATTTTTCTTGGGACTGACGAGGATGACGAAGACGACGACGGCGTTTCACACACGCCGGAGGTTCGGCGGATTCCTACTAAGGAGTACTGAGTAAGAACCTCTTCTAGTATAGAGCTTCTTGTAATGATGCTTTCATTCAGGAATATGCTATGAGGATATTTTGACAAAGGGTTCTGTAGGAAGGATGCCTGTAGTAAGCCTTTCGCCAGCCAGGATCACAGGCTTATACATTGCGCATAAACCAAAGCAAAGGAGCGAAACCATCGTGCAGCTTCGTGAAACGACTGACCTTGCGGCCTCGTACTTGGAGCGCAGGGGGGGGGCTGGGAATTGGTGGCTTCCATAGAAACATCTATTTGTATATTTATACATTCACACACGTATACATGCGTGTGTATGTATGTATGTATGTATGTATGTATGTATGTATGTATGTATGTATGTATGTAATGTATGTATGTATGTATGTATGTATGTATGTATGTATGTATGTATGTATGTATGTCTGTATACTGGTCCCCTGTATGCGTATACCCGTCTTCCCCCCTTTGGCCAGGACACGCCGCCCCAACACGTCCGTAGCCTGTTTGGGCTCAAGATCCAAGCATTTCTTCGGGGTCACGGCCACGGGCTGTCTCGTGGCCGCGAGGCCTGCTCCGAGGGCCGCCATCCGCCCTCCTCGCGCTCCCGGCGGCAGCACTGGGAGGCGAGGGTCGCTGGCCTGACTCGTGGCAGGCGCGGGGCTGGATGGCCCAGGCGGCTGTCGAGGACCTCGACGGTGGAGACGAGGACCTCTGGGAGGCGCCGGAGGCCGTCGTGCCCGCGCCCGTGGAGGACGGACCCGTGCCGATCGTCCCACTGGCGGTGGCCCAGGGCAGATGCTACTGCAGCACGGGCTACACTGCGGGCGGCCTCGAGCAGTGCCGGTTCGCGTGGCGGGCGCTGCGTGTCTCCAGCGCAGAGCCGCCGCTGCGCTTCGTGAAGGCCGAGTTCCTCTTCAGCGACGACGGCTACTGGGACTGGTGGGCCAGCCACCCTGGCCAGCCGAGCGCGGTGACGGTGCGCCCGCTCATCCACGTGTGCTCGGAGAACCCGTGCTCAGTCTTGGAGGGGCCGGGGACGTGCACCGAGCTGATCCACGTGTCGGACGGGGCGGAGCTCGGCCTCGGGGACCTGCGGGCGCTGTTCGTCGAGTGCCAGGAGACGAACCCCGAGGCGGCTTGGCCAGCAGCAAGCCTCGGGCCGCTGGTCGCCGCCGCCGCCCCCGCGAGGCCCGCTGCGGTGGCCAAAGCGGCGGGCCGCCCACCAGCCGCAGCAGGTCCTCCCAGGGTCCCGCCTGGCGCTGCCCCTTTCGACGACTTCCTGAGCGTGAGAGGCTCGTCGCGCGGGCCTGGCTCAGAGCTGGCCGCAGGCGAGGAGGCAGCTGCCGCGGGCGGCCTGGGAGGCAAGCTCGAGGGTGCTCGTGTGCGCTTCGAGGAGGGGAAGCGGGCTGCTGGCGACGTCAACCTGGACGGCTTCCCCCTCGGCGCAGAGGCGGCTGGCGAGGGGCCTGTGAAGAAGCGGTCGCTCGGAGACCTGCTGGTCGAGCGCGCCGCGAAGCTCAAGAGGGCCGCCTCGGACGCGGCCCCCCGAGGGTCAGGAGACCCCGTGCCCGATCGGGCGCTGCCAGGAGCTGGTCCGAGTGGCGGCATGGCGGAGCTGGCGCAGGCGCTCGTGATGGCCATCCGCGAGGGCAAGGAGGGTCCCCCTGGCGACGGCGGCGGGGACGGCCTCGGCTCCTCGGACCCCGCGGCGGTGCCGCGCGACCTGGCCACGAAGAGGGCCTTCTGTCGTCGGATGGCCGCCGCCTCCCCAGGCCGCCTCACGGAGCTGAGCCTGCAGCAGATGGCGGACTTCCTGGGCTCGCAGGAGGGGGGGCGGCCGTCGACGCGACGGGCCCGATCGCGCTGCGGTACCTCCTCACGATCTACCTGCCGCAGCATCCGGTGAAGGAGATCGGCGTGCAGACGCACCGCGAGCTCCGCACCCTCGCGGAGGCGGTGGACCTGCTGACGCAGGGGAAGGCGGCCCACGCCTGCGACCTGATCGTCCAGCGCCTGAAGGCGCTGCAGGTGGCAACGACGGATGGCTCGTGGGCGGCGGCGAAGTGGTTGGAGCTGATCCCGCCGCGCGACGAGCCCACGGCCATCCGCAGCGAGGAGGGGGAGCTCATCCGCAGCATCCAGCTCGGGGAGATGAAGCTGGACGAGCTCTCCGCGCGGCTGGCCTCCGCCAAGACGCCGGGATAGGGCGGGGGCCCGACGGGGGCGCGCCCGCCGCTGGCGCCTCCGTCTGTTGGCCAGGCAGGGGGGGCACCCCCTGCGACAGCGCAGGCGAAGGGACCTGGGGGGCAGGCCCCCCGCCAGCCGCGGGCTCGGCCGCCCCGCAGGAAGGCTTCCGCGGCGGCTCCACCAGCCCCCCTGGCGGCGGCCGCGGGCGGGCCCCCCCCGCAGGCCGAGGGGTCGGCAGCCCCACCGCCGTGGAAGATGTCCTTCGCGGAGATGCGGAAGAAGTTTCCGAAGCAGCCGGGGGAGACGAACACCCAGCACCGCCTGCGAGCCTTCAAAGCTCGTGCGGCGGCGCGCCCTCGTCGGACCTGAGCGGCGGCAGCCTGCCGCCTGCCCCGCGCTATGGTGGAGCCTCCTCAGGGAGGGTGGCCGATGCCTCCATCAAAGGCGCGAGCCCTGCGAAGGGTGCTGGTGGGGGAGTCCGCGGCGTGGGCCAAACTCGGTTTACCGAGGGCGGAGATCGTGCCACCCTAGGCGGGGGGGGTGAGGGCGTCGCGGAGCCCCCGCTGGCCACCGCGCTGCAGTGCTGGTCCGACGAGCTCTCCTTCGGCTTCGGCAAGAGCATCGTCGCGGTCGACCTGGCGGCGCGGCTGGTGGCAGCAGTGCGACGCCACCCAGGCAGCCTTGGCCACTTCGCTCGGTCGTTCAGCATGCGTGCGGACACATTTTGTGGGAGCGGAGGGTCTTCGAACAGGAGGGTTCGGGACGCCCTGCCGCTTCCCCTTCCGTCGACCGAGGAGGTGGACCGCTGGCTGGCCCACAGTGCCTTGCCCAAGGCACGCAGGTGCCGCCGCCGCGCCGTGGCGCGGGAGGTCAGCGAGCAGGCGTGGCTGTACCTCAGCGTGGTGGCGCTCAACTACGCGTTCTGCGGCCGCGCGCAGGAAGGCTGGCGCCACAGGCCGACCCTGTCGAAGGCGCGCAGGTCTACGTGCCCTGTCGAAGGCGCATACGCAGGTCTACGTGCACCTGAAGAGTCGAGCGGCGGCCCTGGCGGAGGACCCGCTGGCCATGGTCGTGGTCCCCGCGATCGACGAGCTGGCGGGCGGATGCGGGTCAGTGTACGAGGGCGAGACGGGCGTGAAGGCCCTCCCCTGCCGGCTCTGCGAGCTGGCCCCTGGGCTGCCCGCGCGGGAGTGCGCTGCCACGCTCGACGCGATCGACTTCGTTGACGACGAGGTCGGCGCCTGGCTGCGCCGCCCCGAGCTGGCGCTCCTCGACCAGTCCGACTGGCCCGACCCGCTGCCGCGGGCCCGCGTGAACGTGGAGACGGATGCGGACTGGGAGGAGCTGGCGCTGCACCTCGTGTCGCTCGGCATCTTCACCACGCTCGCGGAGAGCGAGCTGGTCCGCGTGAGGGGCGAGCCCGTGCTGAACGGCCTGTTCGCGGTGGAGAAGAAGGGCACTCCAGCGCCTGGCGCCACGCGGGTCACCAGGCTCATCCTCAACATGGTGCCAGGCAACTCGCTCCTGAAGGCCCACGTGGGCGAGGCGGCGCTGCTCGCGGCCTCGACGTCCTGGACGTCGGTCGTGATCCCCGAGGGGAAGCTGCTGCTGTGGTCGGGCGACGACCAGAAGGGGGCCTTCTTCGTGTGGCGGGTCCCGCCCGCGTGGCACCCCTACGTGGCCGTGGGGCGGCCGCTCGCGGGCGAGCTGTTTGGTCGCTCGGAGCCCGTCGTCTACGTGACCTCGGCTGTCATCGCCATGGGCTGGTCGCTCGCGGTGCCCGTTTTCCAGCACATCCACCGACGACTGTGCCGCCTGGCGCCGCCCCTCGGGGCGGGGCTTCCCTCGGACGGGGAGTGGCGCAAGGATTGCGCGCGGCCCCTGGTCGAGGCAGGCAGCGGCCAGGACGCTGGCTGGTGGCAGGTCTACATCGACGATTTCGATGCGCCGGAGATCGTCGAGGAGGTTCTGGCCCGCAAGCTCGCGGGGACCCCGAGCGACCTCCAACTGCAGGTCCGCGCCAGCTACGAGAGGGCAAGCGTCTCCTTCTCGGCCGAGAAGGCGCACTGCAGGCAGCTGAGGGTCGAGCGCATGGGCGCGGACGTCGACGGCGTCAGCGGGCGCCTCGCGGTCCCCGCTGCCAAGGCGCTGGCCACTGCGGGCCTCTGCTTGGCCGCGGTGCAGCGGCGCCTGGTCCCGTGGCGCGTGGCCGTGGCGGCCCTCGGCAAGCTCGTGAGGGCCTTCGAGTTCAGGCGGCCGCTTTTCGGGGTCCTGAACTCCGTCTGGACGCTGGCTGCGTCCTCAGCGCAGGGGGCTTACCTGGACGCAGAGATGGTGGAAGAGCTCCTCATGGGCGTGATGGTCCTGCCGCTGGCCGCCTCCTCGCTGCGGGCGCGCATCGACGGCGTGGTCACGTCCTCGGACGCGTCGGAGATGGGCGGCGGCGTGTGCACGTCAGCTGGCCTGCGCGAGGATGTCGCCGCCGCCTTGCAGGTGCCGAGGACGGTCCCCGACCAGCTGGGGATAGGGGCCAGGCTCCTCAACATGCCCGAGGACCCCGCCCGACCGTGGGCGGCAGCCAACCCACGCGTCCCCGCCAGGGCAGTCCGCAGGGTGCTGTCGGTGCTGCTCATCGGCCTGTTCGACGGCATCGGAGGCCTCGCCGTCGCCTTCTCGAGGCTGCCCGTCCGCATCGCGGCCTTCGTCGCGGCCGAGACGGACGCCAAGGCGAGGCGCGTTGTCAGACTCCGCTGGCCAGGTGTCATCGACTGGGGCGACGTCACCCGTGTGGGCAGCGAGACGGTGCGGGATTTGTTCGAGGCGTTCGGCGGCCTCGTCGACCTGGTGGTGGTCGCAGCGGGCAGCCCCTGCCAGGACCTGTCACGCCTCAACGTCGGCGGGCGCGGCCTCAGCGGCAGGAAGTCCTCGCTGTTCCACGAGGTGCCACGCATCCTGGCTCTCCTCGCCGCCGTCTTCAAGGACAGGCTCGTTTGGTTCGTGGAGAACGTGGCCAGCATGTCCGACGCCAACGTGGAGCTGATCTCGGAGGCGCTGCAGGTGAGGCCGACGCTGGTGTGCTCGTCGGTGTTCGTGCCGTGTCGCAGGCCGCGCCTGTTCTGGACGAGCTGGGGCGTCACCGCATCGGCGCCTCTTCGGCTGACCGACCGCGGAGTCTACGACGAGCTGGGGGCCCTGGCGTCCCGCTCATGGACCTCGCGTGGGAGGACGAGGGCTGCTCTTGGCCAGGGAGACCAAGGTGCTTCCCCACGCTCGTCTGCTGCAGGCCTCAGCCCTCCTTCCCCTCTGCCCCGCGTGGCTTCGCGGCTGCATCGGAGACGGCTCGTCAAAGGTGGGCTGCGGACGGGCACGGGTATCATGTGGCTTTGTACGAGGACAAAAACATGATCTGCATCTCCTCGTTCCCTTTCCTGCGCCTCCCCACCAGCGAGGAGAGGGGGCGGCTCCTTGGCTTTGATGTGGGGTACACCTCCCTAGCCACCAAGGGCTCGAACCCTCAGGGCGCCTCCGACGCCAGGGCCTTCCTCCTCGGCAACAGCTTCAGTATTCACGTCGTGGCATGGTTGTGCCAGCAGCTCCTGCACCGCCGCGGCGCGCTGAACAGGGAGCTGTCGATAGAGGAGGTGTCCCCCGTCCGCGTGTGCCGGGCGACGTGGGACCAGGCGGGGGCCTTCGTCACGGAGCCAGGAGAACCGGACACCGCGGAGGCGAGGCAGCTGGTCCTGCACTACCTCAGCCGCGCGGAGAAGGGCGGGTCGGACGTCAGGCTGGACTGCGGCGTCCCCTACCGCCCGCGAGGTTGGCCGAGGACGAGCTTGGGCCCGTTCGCGTGGAAGTGGCGCGTGGTGGTCAGCATGGCGTGGCCTGGCCGGAGCTCCACCCACATAAACGTGAGAGAGTTGCAGGCGGCCACGGCGGCGATCAGGTGGCGCGCCCGCAAGGTCGCGCAGCACGGGGGCAGGTTCTTGCACCTCGTCGACAGCCAGGTGGTCGCGGCCATCGTGGCGAAGGGCCGCAGCAGCAGCAGGAAGCTACAGCCCAGCCTGAGGCGCTGGATGGCCGTCGTCGTGGCGGCCGACATGTACCCACTGATCGGCCACGTGGTCTCAGAGGACAACCCTGCGGACGAGCCGTCGAGGAGGCTGCTGTGGCGTGGCTCGAAGCCCAGGAGGCGAGGGCGACCCGTGCCGCGCGCGCGGCCGCTCACCGCAGGCCCGCGCCCGTGAGACGCCGCGGGACGCGCTGCCAGACTCTCTCTTCCCTGAGGGTGTCAGCGGAGACGCGGCGGCGCTACGGGCGGGCCCTGCGCGCGCTGCTGGCCCACTTTGGGGCCGAGCAGGCGGGGGCGGACGCCTTGCGCGGCGACCCCGAGGACGCAGACGCCCTCGTCGCGGAGTACCTCGAAGGCCTGTGGGCCTCTGGTGCGGGCATCGCGGCCGCCAACAACACGCTGGCGGGGGTGTGCTTCGCGGCGCCTCGTCTGAGGCGACACCTCGACCTGAGCTGGACTCTCCTCAAGGCATGGAGGCATCATGAGCCAGCGTCCAGGGTGCTGCCGCTCACGACCGAGGCCGTCGCGGCCATGGCAGGGTTCGCGTGCGCTGCAGGTGCTTTCGACGTGGCCGCCCTCCTTCTCGTCGGCTTCGAGGGCATGCTCCGAGGCGCGGAGGTGTTTGCCCTGACGGTGGGCGACATCGTCGACCGCGGCGAGCTGTTCATAGTCCGCATCAGCTCGTCCAAGACCACGGCGGGCAAGGACTGCGCGGAGGCAGTCGTCGTCCGCAGCAGGATGGCCGTGGCGCTCCTGCGGATTGCGGTCCGCGGCCTGGGTGCAGGCGCGCGGCTCTCATGGAGGACGCCGTCCCAGCTGCGTGGTGCCCTCCGCGCCTTGGCGAGGGGCCTGGGCCTGGCGGGGCCCATCACGTGGCGCAGCCTGCGACGTGGCGGGGCGAGCGCCTTCTTCGTCAGGAGCGGCTCCATGGAGGCGACCCTCGTGGCGGGTCGGTGGGCCTCCTCCGCCACCGCACGCCTGTACATCGAGGGCGCGGTGGCCGACTCAGTGCGCGCCCAGCCCGGGAGCGAAGCAGCCCGCGCCGTTGCGCGGGGACTGCGGCTCCTGCAGCTGGCCACTGTCAAAGGCCACTGCTCGCGCCCAACAGTGCTTGCCGAAAATCGGGCGTTTGTCTTCGCTTCGGCGAAGGCAACCGCCCTCCCGCCGTGGGGCCGCGTGGCCCTCTCTCTCTCTCTGGGTCTGGTTTCCGGGGTCCCCTGGGTCCGCCCGTTGTGTGGGGCGTTCTCTGTTTGGGGTCCACGCCCGTCTCGCCTTCTCCGTGCATCGTTTCACCTCCTCCCGTCGCCTCCCCCCGTCACCTCCTCCTCGTGTGGAGTGTAAGGGCTGGAGAAGGGCGTGGAGTAGGGGGGTGTGCTGGGGGGGCCAAACCAAGGGGCTGCGGAGGGATGTCTGGCACGCGTGGGGCCGCCCTGTGCGGTGCCTGCCCCACGTCGGGCCTGTGGCCTGGCGCGGGTTGCGTGTCCAGACCCCCCCTCGCAGTCCTGTGGCTTGCCCCCCCGCACACCCCCGAATTAAGGACCGGCATAAATATGCCATTTGCAGGGGGGGTTGGGAGTTAAACGCGGACGGCCTACGTAGCCTTAAGGCCAGTAGGTGGGGGAGTTAGATAACGTAGGCCCCCTTCCCCAGATTGCTGTATGCGAACGGTGGAGGACCACCTCGCACGCCTTAGGTGGCAAGCGCGCGGTGCGGTAGGCGCCGCGTGCTTGCCGCCTAGGTAATGCGTGGCGTAGGGTACCCTTGCATCCCGGCGCGTACAGTAGCTGGGGGGTTTGAGGGGGGCTGGCCTACTCTGACCATTGGCGTGTCCGCACGCAAAAAGGTGGGGCAGGGTATGTCTGTATACTGGTCCCCTGTATGCGTATACCCGTCTTCCCCCCTTTGGCCAGGACACGCCGCCCCAACACGTCCGTAGCCTGTTTGGGCTCCCACCCGCGGTCCACCCCTTCCGTGTTGAGGCACGCTTTCTGCTGGTGCCGTAGCCCAGAAGATAGCGTAGGCCCCCTCCCCAGATTGCTGTATGCGAGCGGTGGAGGACCACCTCGCACGCCTTAGGTGGCAAGCGCGCGGTGCGGTAGGCGCCGCGTGCTTGCCGCCTAGGTAATGCGTGGCGTAGGGTACCCTTGCATCCCGGCGCGTACAGTAGCTGGGGGGTTTGAGGGGGGCTGGCCTACTCTGACCATTGGCGTGTCCGCACGCAAAAAGGTGGGTCAGGGTATATATATATATATATGCATACATGCATATAATCATATAGTTACATATCTATAGTATACATGTTCGGGCATACGTATCTGTATTCAGTTACGCAATCGTATGTAACTTATACGGTATATATATATATATATATATATATATATGTATATATAAAAGGGGTACATGTACATAAACATATGCAAACACATATCGATGTATATTCAGACGTGTCTACGTGTGTGCACATTTACTTGCATATGTATGTTTCTCCATGTATTGTCATACCTCACACGTCCTTACCGCATTCTGGCTGGCCGAACGGGCAGATTCCCCTCCCGCCGGTGTTGGGCGGAGGGCCGAGAGCTCGCCGCTGCGCCTGTATCTTCGAGCCTCCTCCTCCTCCTCCTCCTCCTCCTCCTTCTCCGTCCGTGTCCTGCCCTCCTTGAAGTCCGCCCTCAGGGCGGCCACTGTGGCTTCTGGGCCACAGCCCAGCTCCCCGGCGGCCGCTCTGGACGATTCGGGCGCCGCCGGCGAGCGCCCTCGGCGAGGCGCGCCCGCTGGAGGGCATCCCGCGGCCGGACAGCCAGCGAGAACAGACGAAAACGTCCGAGAGACTCGAGCCTCGAAACTTTCCCCCCCCCCTCTCCCCTTTCCGAACTCTTTCGCTTGCTCGCAGGCGGCTCGGGAACCGCGGAGGTCTCTCCGACCTGCCGATCCCGTCGTTGCCGCTGCCTGCCGCGCGGCCGAGGGCGGCGCCGACGTGTGCCTCGCGCGCGTCCTGGCTTGGGGGGTGGGGTATAAGTGCACCCCAGCGGTCTCTGCCCGTGAGATACCTCGCCCCGATCACCGGCCCAATCTTCCCTCTGACATGAGGAAGGCGTGGATGACGACGAGAATGAGGACGATGAGGATGAGGATGAGGGTGAGGATCAGGATGAGGATGCTGAGGATGCTGAGGATGCTGATGAGGATGAGGATGAGGATGAGTAGGTGATGATGATGATGATGATGATGATGATGATGATGATGATGATGATGATGATGATGATGATGCTGATGATGATGATGATGATGATGATGATGATGATGATTCTGAGTATGATGATGCTGTTGCTGGTGGTGGTGGCGGTGGTGACGATGATGCTGATGTTGCTGTTGATGATGATGCTGATACTGATGATGATGCTAATGATGGTGATGGTGCTGGTGATGGTGATGGTGATGATGGTGATGATGATAATGATGATGATGATGATGATGATGATGATGATGATGATGATGATGATTATGATGTTGACGACAACGACGAGCACCACGTCGACGACGACGACGATGCTGATGCTGATGATGATGATGCTGATGATGATGATGATGATGATGATGATGATGATGATGATGATGATGATTATTTTTAGGAGGATGGATAGGAGGAGGAGGAGGAGGAGGAGGAGGAGGAGGAGGAGGAGGACGTGCCAACGTTCGGCGAGCTCAGTTGCCATCGGATGAGGAAGAGGAGGAGGAGGACCAGTGCAAGTCCAATACTCATCAACGATGTTGGACTACACAATCCCTCCAATTTTCCTCTTTATAGGCCCCTACGAGGGTTTGTGTCCACTGAGGGAAGTGCCCCGTTGGCGGACCATCTTGTGAAAATCCTGACGTGTGCTAAACACCAATCGCAGGACATCAACGCCACGAGTCAACCTGACTGCGTTATCTTGAATCGTACCATAGCGCCGTTCCTGAGAATTCCACACCGCAGATCAACGGGAGTGTTGTGCCTTGACAATCATTAGTCGCTTCAGAGCGAAATTTCTGGTACGTTAACCATGCGAGCCACTGAAACTCTTGCACAGTTTTGAAGCGAATGTGCGAGGCGCTGAGGCCACAACCACATTTCGACACGGAATCGCCCTCAACCCACGAAACCCTTGCAGTGATTTAGAACGACTGTGCGCGGCGCTGTGGCGAGAATACCATTTTGAAAAGACACCGCCTTCAATCCGTGAAGCGCCTGCACATGTCTGAAACGAACGTGCGCGGCGCTAAGGCGAAGGCTACAATTTGAGAACCACCCGCCCTCAATCCATGACGCTCTTTGACAATTCAGTAAAAAATCGCGCGGCGCGAAAGCTAGAGCCACATGTTGAAACGAAACCGCCCTCAACCCTTGAAGATTTAGTAAATAAGCTCCTTTTCCGCTTCATACTAAATGAAGACATAACTTAGTTTGCATGCATCGCACTGTCCGCTGGAACTAACAGCTGCATTCCGCAGCTGTATGATTGCTCGAACAAGCTAACCTTGGCTTGCAGGAGAGAAAAGGAGCGCGCCAGCCCTCGGCCGTCGTGCGTCGTCGGTCGTAGGCCAGCCGGCCTCCTCCCTTCACATTCCTGTGAGAGTAGTCTTGCTTAGCGGATACTTGTCTTATAAATGTCTCATCCCGTCCCCTCTCTTCCTGAGCAGAGTGAACATGAGATCTTAATTCCTTTGTCATCGTACCCCGATTCTCAGAGGAAAGACACTGGTTATCAGCCGAAGCGCGCGACTCAGTCGACGCGGGGCCGTCACATGCAAAAGAAGAGCTTTCAAATGTGCCCCGCGACTCCGTCGCTGCGGGAACGAGCTATGATAAGACTGACACCGTGTCCAATATCTCGAGAAACGCCGATAGGCGCGTTGTACAACATGATGGACACGACGCAAACAAGGACGGTCCAATTCAGGACCGAGTCCCTCCTTCATACATCGCCACTCGGGTAGTAAGGGGCAGAGGTACCGAGGGAGTATCAGAGATGTCGGTAGACGTCTCTCCCGCGGGAGCTCCAATCGGTGATCGCGAGCAAACCCCAGACCTGCACGGGCGAGATGGCGTAACATCAAGACCTAGACGAAGTGCGCTTTCGTCATGGAGTGCCAAATCGACGGAGTCAACCAGTCGAATTCCGAACGCTCCACATGCTATTGCTACTGCCGCTGGTGAAGCCGGTCGGCCAGGGGAAGTCCAAGATAACGTGAATACGTACCCTAGTATCCCGCCCGAATGGGTGGGTACGAGTACCAACGTTCCAGTCCCAATAGCGCTTAACGGACATTTTGGCCAGGACAGTGATGACCCAATTGAAAGAGATCATGCAATATATTCTATGGAGGAAGATTTTGATAGCATCAATAATGATATTTCCTTGCGCCGAGCATTGTCCGTGATGACGGAAGAAGACATCCCTCCTCAAGACGAAAGATGGTCTCCAGATGGATCCGACGAAGACACTAGTATCCTGACGCCTCAGGCGGACAGGGCGGAGGCTCAGACGAAGCATGAGAGGGAGTCCACACGGCGAACCCCCGCACCTCACCTCAATAACCAAAGGAATGAGGACTACGAGCTAAACGTCTCGCCACTGAAAGGAGGTTTCTTCCGTAATGCCGCCACCTCATGTGACTGGCAGCCCTCGGTTCCAGCTGTTGTTCAGGATGCAGAAATGGTCGGACAACCAGCTACGTATGCTCAGCTAATAACACAAGACGGAAAGGATGAGGAGTTCCTAAACCACCAGAAAATACCTTCGTTCGCCCCAGATCAAATGCGTCAAGCAGGGGAAGACCCAAGATGCCAAGATCAGGGGCGAGATCTACCTCAAGGAGCAACAGTGCCGTCTCCATGATGGAGGCCTGTTGGAACCCCAACCCTAATTGCGCGCCTCGGGCGGGGAGCAGATGCCTAGGAAAAGCCGGCGGGCCAGAAGGCGCATGTAGGAATCCAGTGTGCAAGAGTTGCTCGGGCGTTTGCCGCGAGTGCAACGCGCAGTGGCTGTGTGCCGAGTGTTGCCCAATGGGCGAGCACAACTGCACGTATCTCCTCATGCAGTCTATTCAGGACCAGGCCAGGCTGGCGGAGGCTAACACTCAGAGAGAGTTTCTGGCCGATGAATGCAGCTGGCTGAAAGGGCCCGATTGGACAGAGAAGAATTAACTGAAACTGTGGTCGAAGCTAGAAAAACGTTCGAGGCTGAACGGGTCGCCCTAGCCATGGCTGCTAGAGAGCGGGAAAATGCGCTGATAGAACATCTACATAATCAGACCGAGGCCGTCAAGCGGCAAGTGGAGCTGGAAGCCGAAAATAA